CGGTATGCGCGCATAGAAAGCTATAGAAACACCATGGACTAGAATGCCATCGACATAATATGGGAAAGTTTAAGCTATTATACTGGAGAGTTTAAGCTTACAATGTTTTCCACGACGCAACCGTGAACGGAAAGTACATGAATCAGTGTAATGTATAGCGCGCATACAAAACAAGCGCTAATTAGTCTACTTCAGATACCCGTTCAGCTTCAGTGTTTAGAACGCGAAATTCCAAATTTTTAGCGTCTGCTGAAATCTTACAATATGAAAAGTTACTCACTCACCGATCAACGTGTATGCTTAATTTATAGCCAGTTTATTGAATCATCGGTATACTGAATAAAGTCACATTACTTGTGCTAGAAAAAATACACCAAAGAAAATATATAAAGGATTTAATAAAACCCCATAGAGATACATGTGCCGTGAGTTTTGAGCTACCAGGCATGATGTTTGAGATACGTTAAATGCCAGTGGTTAGTCTCAACGGAAATCGTTATATTCGTGTAAATTGACATACTAGCCTGGTAATTTTGATTTCAATACAAAGTAGAATTCTTTCTGAAGAAGATGATGTACGTCATGCATGTTTTAGCTCCAACTATCTTACCAAACGAGCGTGATTAAAATATGTATCTGAAAACTAGCTATAGAACTACCAATGGCGTATTACATACTGCATATCACATGCTGCTGCACAGTAGTCTAAAAAAATCCCTACGTATAACGTTATATACGTTATATAATGTTTTCAAAGTGTCAAAAGCCACCTTAAACAGATATTTCCCGAAGAGAGGATAAGCCATCCAAAGCCTAAGAGTTATAGATTTGATTTATCGCACAATTATGCAAATGATGAAAGTTTGTTATCACGAGTATAGAAGATCATTAGTAGAGGGAAATACATTTTATCGACTTTGCTAAATTTAACTTTAACATCACCTTACAATTGTATAATCACCCGAGTTAAAAGTTGTATGAGTATCTTACCAAGAGCTCTATTTTTATCACGAGGACATTTTATTTTTCAGTTGAAGTTAAGACACCGGAGATTTAAAGCTTGCAATGTTTTATTGAGAGTTCAAGCTAGTATATAAAATCGAAACGGCAACGTATACGTAAAAAATGTCAATATAAAATACATGTAGCTTCTCACTTAAATAACCGTTCGGGCCGTTTTATATTATAAAATATAATATTTCATACATTTTAGCTTTTTATAGATCGTTTAACAATGTTTCAGTTCTTGAAATTCAGTGGATGCCTATACATTGGAATATGATCTTCGTGCATATTAGACACCCTCATAATTTTGTGTTTTCAAGCTGTGACGACCATTTGAAATATCATAAATAGCATTTGAAATGACATACAGTACAGCAGGTAATACTGAGAATATAACATCTAATAGATGCGCTATTAAGTTTCGAATATCACCCTATACGAAGATGTGGATACTGTAAAAAAGTGATGATGTTAGTCCACCGGTATGTTTATTTCTGGAAGTTATCTAAACTTCGTACCTCTACACCTCGTACTGGCCAGTAACCTGTTGCGCAGATGCAAGACAATAGTCATAATTCGATTTGTAATGATAGAAAGTTTCTACCCTTTGAATTCGTTTGACTTCACTTCTTAAAAGAGAGCTTCGTCTAGTTTAAATAGACTCTACACGCAGGGTAGAAAGTTTGATACTTCAGAATGAAACGGATACGAAGTTAGTTAAATGGAGTGATCAAAAAGTCCGCATGTTTTTTTCGATTAATTGCAAAGAATGGTACATTTTCTGCAAAAACGTCACTGATATTGCATTTATCATGCTTGAATGCTATTCTTTCCCCAATTTAAGTCGAAATTCTTGTTGAATCTGGGGATAATGATTCTTTGAGGGGAAGAGCAATGGCTAAGTAATACCAGCAGGTTTGGACGAGACATTACAGAGCTGAGCTCACTGCATAGCCATTTCTCTTCCTCGAAATTCAAATTGACGTTTCGCATCGGATGTAAATTACCAGACTTTTTGTTGTTTCACATTTAAGAAGAAACAAAGCATATTGACAGTGTCCACATACCTTATAATACGGGTCATATATCCGGAATTACTTATACTGTATGTTTGACAATATTATACTATGCTTTTTGATTTGACATTACCAAAACACAAGTTATGTAAAGTTTTATATGACACTTATAAAATAGCATGGAATCTAAAATAATTATCATCGAGTGCTTTACACATATAACTTACAAAAGTTATAAATATGTGAAATAAATGGTCTACAAAATAAAACTGTATCCAAAAACATTGTCCCTAGGTCCCAATTCCCAAGCGTTGTTGTAAGTTGCATTCAAGAAGCAATATATTAGAGAGAACATTAAAAATTTTGTTTTTATGGACATTTAGTCTTTTTACATCACAACATATCATTTCAAAATCAATAAATTGGAGGTCTAATTTAATTTCTCTCATTTTCAACCCCAGTGATAACAGTTCAAGATATCATCTCGATCTCCAATAATATCGTATTTCAAAGGTAAATGCATACTGTTAACCCCTAGTTTAGACTAATGAGCAAAATTTGTTCAGGAAATCTAACATATAATTAGATATATTGAAAGTGATCGTATATCATTGCATTTGTATTATTCGTTTCTCTTCATTCCTACTGCTAACTTAGTGGCGGGTTAAAAGAACGAATTCGATTATCAATTCAAGATTCCTATAACTATCAAAACGCTACGATCTTCATTCTTTACAAAAAGCGTTGATGTATTAAGTCCAATGTCATATTTAACTTACAAGAGAGGTATGTCATTGCTTCTCAAACTATTTGCTCAATTACTTAACAATTAATACGAGCAATGTGCACAATCGATTAACAGAACGGATTAATTTTAACATTTAATCCATCATCAATTTCCCACTTCTTCCCAATTCGTCATAATCAAGGTGCCATAGTGCAAGAAAGCACAACAGGTGGCATACTATAGAAACTTGCGTACTTGAAACTCAAAGGGGTAGTATTAGAAACTTTCGAGGTAGAATTAGAAACTCTAACTCAACTCAAAATATTGGAAGCTCAAAATGAATATAGTATAAACAACTCAGAGTTTAGTATAAGAAACTCAAATGGTAGTACTAGGCCAAAGGGTTATAGTAAAAGCTCAATTGAATGTGGTATAAAAAACTCAGGGTAGTATTAGAAACCCGAAGGGTTGTAGTATTAGAAACTCAAATAGTTGTACTAATAGCCCAAATGGTAAAAATAAAAACTCAAACGGTATGTGGTATAAAAAACTATAGGGTAGTATTACACATATAGTGGTGTAGTATTAGAAACTGAAACCGTAGTATTAGAAATTCAAAGGGGGTGTAGCATATTAGATTAATATCTCAAAGGGGGCGTAGCAGATTAATATTAGAAACCCAAAGAATGGTATTAGAAACACAAAGGGCATGTAGCATCGATATTCAAATAGAAGTATTAGAAACTCAAAAGCAGTATTAGAAACTCAAATTGATATAGCATTAGAAACTTAAAGAAAAGTATTAGAAACTAATAATGGGTGCAGCAGTGGAAACTCAAAGAGATATATTAGAAAGTAATAATTGGGTACAGTATTGGAAACTCAAAGAGTAGTATTAAAAACTCAAGGGGATTTATTAGAAACTAATAATGGGGTGCAGCAATGGAAACTCAAAGAGTAGTACTAAAAACTCAAAGGGATTTATTAGAAACTAATAATGGGGTGCAGCAATGGAAACTCAAAGAGTAGTATTAGAAACTCAAAGGGATTTATTAGAAACTAATAATTGGGTGCAGCAATGGAAACTCAAAGAGTAGTATTAGAAACTCAAAGAGGGTGTATTTGAAACTTAGAGTTGTATTATAAAAACAAAGGAGTGTAACAATTAATATAGTAGCATTAGAAACTCAAAGAGCGTGTAGCATTAGAAACTCAAAAAGTGGTATTCGAAACTTAAAGGGGGTATCGTTTTTTAAAACAGACCAGGTAGTCTTATACTAATTTCAAAAATGTATCATATAAACATATCGAGGGACAATAGGAAAAGGTCAAGAGTAAAAAGCAAAGGGAAATATCAAATAGCAAAACAATGACAATGTGAAATAACATGCTGGGTAAAAGTGGCGGATAAAAGTACCAAAAAACTAAACTTAGCACAACACAGCATAAATGGCAGAATAAGACAGAGTATCAGAAATGACCTAGGAAGTATCATATATATTGTCGCAGCACCATTGTCGTATATATCTAAATACATGACGTACCCAATTCTCGCATTTCGCAAAACGTGGGGATGTCTTTTGAGATAAGGTAAATTCGAATACTTCCGTTATATGATAGTGTTCTTCAAATGTAAAAATCACTTGTTGACCACTTGTTGATAAAACCTTCAAATAATACACATTTGCCGAATTTTTCAATCGATATTAGATGTTTAGATTTTTAGATAAAGCAGCATATTGCAATGACGTTTATGTGTAATTTGCTTGTACAGTTAGAATAAAATGTCATTCAGGAAAATTACATTTAGAAGCATAAATGCTGTATAAAGAATAGATTCTATGTTTACTTTACAAAATGTGCACTTAACAATACTATAGTTTGAAATAAGCCATAGTTTGATCAATTGAAATAACACTTTTAACGGTTTGTTTCTGTCGCTATTAAAATGATAACAGATATATGTAAATCATTGAAAATGAAAATTATGAGCGTATCCTTAATATAAACTTGTATCTAAATAATAGAATGGAGACATTCCGAATGATGATTTGAATTAGGGTCAACTTTAACGTCGTGAGTTTCCAAATTGTAAAATAAACACATCGATATAAGAGTGGGATTTAAGATAATTCGATATAAAAAATATCATGATTTTTAATCGATATCCCTTAAAATCAATTGGCTATTCTCATATTTTATATGCTTATCACTCAAATGTCCTTGCCTCCAAAACCAAATTTTGTCATTACCTGTCCGCGATTCACATATCCCAAATCTCTCGCCACGATATCGGCAACCTCAGGTCCTCCGTGGATCTCCACTGCCCATTCGTTAGTAAAGTGCTCATCATTGTACGCTGCGTCCGTCAAAACTCCGTATTTTAGAAGTAAAATCGTGGTCAAGTAAGCCAAAATCTTCATAATATTGACCACCAGTCAGAAAATTTCCCCTCGTCGTTTAAATATAGCTATTTTAGTCCAATTTCCGTGATGGTATATCTTTTTAATCTCTAATTGTTTCTTTATTATTTATCTTTGATTGATTACCCCTGATTAGGTCTTAGATTCTAGTTCCTATTTTTACGAAAACTATATTTGTCAGCTAGAATTCATGATGTTACCATTTAGAATGTGCCACTGGCTACACTGGATACGAGCTCGCTACTTAATGAGAATGACTTTTAATTTCGCAGCTGCTTATCACCAAATGTTCCCTTGCAAATTGCAAAGTTGTTTTCCCGTTCTGGTCAAAGTCGAAAGTGTTAGCTAAAACGATAGCCTAGGACCCAGGACTGGGCGTCTCAGAGTAATACTTTAGTAATTCAACTTCAATATGTCCAGTTATCTGAAAATTTGATCATTATCGTTAATCGTATATTTGATACTGATATCCGAGGGATATGACAAATATAAACTATACCATACTTAACAATGCTGGTAATAATATATAGTCGTTTCTGTTGATGTATTACACATAGGGGTCTTAATCGCTGACGTCAGATACTTAGATATGCGTGGAACTGTTTAAGTTAATGCGGGCCATCGGTAATGTGTGATGAGTGATTGTCACCAACGTCATCTTTGGGGCCTTTCCCGTGTCGTCAATTTAGATTCCGTTAGTGATACCCTTCAATTGCTACCCAATTCGAGTAAATTTATCTCGAGTCGCCCTAGTCGGTTCTTGTGTTTTGGTTAAGCTTATCTGTTTACTCTTCACAGCTCTAGCAGATGTTAAGTGAAAATAATTAAATTAATCTAATTTATGATTGTAATTACACGTCATTGAATGTAAGTTCAGATATTTCGTGTGGGTAAATATAACTCCATAACGATTGATCACAAAACCTTATCACCCTACAAATATTATCGTGAGTGGGCTATATAGAAGAGGATTACAAGAATCATGCAATGGAAATTATGGTCCCGGGAGGATTATACTAAAGACTCATTTGCAGATTGATATACATGACACTGATTGGGTTGCAGAATAACCTTTTGACGTCATTACTCCTGCGAAAAAGGATTAGGGGTCCCCCAGATTGTGCCCATCTTTTAAAAAAGGACTATTTTTGTAGATGCATTGCTAATAAAAATCGTTCTGTTGTTACTGTCACTATTAAATGTTTTAAAGCTTTGAGGTATTTCATTTATTTATTTATTTTATTTTATTTATTTATTATTTATTTCATGATAATATAACAATGGAATGTACAAAGCATGTGCACTCGACACCCTTAGTATCAACCTAAGATAAAGAGATAAAGATAAATTGCAAAACCCAGGTAAAACATATTTTATTTACTTATTTCTACACGTTGCGTTATGGTAAAATTAATGTTTCTTATTGCTATAGATATTGTATTTATGTAGCATGCCCGATGTTGATTTTCGATCAGAATCTATTTGATGCTATGTGTAATAACGAAGATATGAGACATTCAGTTAAGTATTTTCGATGGAAAGGATTACTCGAAATGGGAAGTGCAAAAAATCGTCACACAAGATGAGCGCCTTCTACGATGTTTTATGTATAAGGATATTGCCCAACTGCATAATGATATTGCCCGGTTTTCTAATGATATTATCCAATTAGATGGCTTTTCCAATGACATACAATGATCTAAACGATCTTATTTTTTCTCAATAACTTATATAATATATTTAGTTCGAAGGTATACACCTACTAATATCGAGTTTGAAAGTTCTACCCCTATATATCTAACTTTATCCAATGTTATATACGCCTACATCCCCTCAATCCTTATCCAACTTTTAAACCATCATATTTTCATAATTGATTATAAAATTGGAATTCAAACAAAAAGCATTGGTCCATCATTAGTCCAAAAACCACAGTCCATTATTAGATGGAGCTTTGGATGTCAAAAATCTAGAGAGAAAAATTAAATACTAATGGAGATGTTAAGCAACATTTTGGAAATAAACCTATTGGTGATCATGGAAAGAACACTCGTTCTACATTGCATCAAAATAACGCACAGATAAGGTTGCTGATATCTCGTACACTGCAATGTTAAATTAAACGTCAGAAGTAGAATAAAAAAGTACACCAGTGTTCGTAAAAGCTCATCAACACGTAATCTGATGAGAACCCCACTCCGATTTCCGCACTTTTGGAGTGGAGAGAATAAGTGTGAATGGTGATGTTAACGGGTATTTAATACAAACAGTAGGAATCAATGGATTGCCTCGTAAGCATAGAGTCGATGTGATATGATTAATTGTACACCTGTCGCTTTAAATGATTGGCTCTTTTGTTTCGCTAGCTATCAAACTAATAAGCCGATTTCAATACATCTAACCTACCACTGTTAGTCTTAAAAATGTTAACCACAGAAAACGATTTATTTTATTTTGGTTTTAAATGCCATTTTATTTCTCCATAACACCAGTATGTAGTGGTATTAACAATACAAATAACCAGTAAATAGCACGGTAGATGGCGCAACCGCCCTTAGACAGTCATATTTTGAGTTTTGTGTATTACGTAGCTGGTTGTAAAATAGTCGTATTATTTTTGGCCAGCTCTGTTATCTATAAGAAAAGCATACAATGACAATATACAACTAATAGAGGGTGTACGATCGAGACCAATCATATTCTGATGCCGGTGTAAAAGGGTAGGAGGTCCTATCAACTTATGGTCCTACTCTCCATTGATTTATATTGTGACCTAAATACTTTGGGCTAGCTGCCGTAGTCAGCTATTGGCGGTTGTTAGCCCTATCGGCAAAAGTATTGTTATGTAACATTATGTAATTTATAATAAAATTACGTCATCATATTATATAGCCAACAACAAACCTACTTAGTTGTGTTTCTCTTAACTTTTGCCTATCAAAGAGCCCAAGTACCCAGAACACTACAGCTTCATAAATTAAATTTAATGCAATTAAAAGTTTTGTGAAGTGAGTGTGAGGGGGGGGGGGGTGACGTGTTATTGTCGTCGGACACCAGTCATTAATTCTGACCAATCGTGTGACTTCTAGGTTTTAAACGTCAGTTATCTGATACCATCTGGTATACCATCTTCATTCGTTACATTTATTTGTGAATACAAACATCATCGAAGATATTCTTCTTGCAGGACATTACATTATATTTGTCGAACTCCCGTGCAGTGATAATATCACTGCGGCGGGCAGGTATCTCACCGTAAGCATGGTAACTTCTAATAAACAACTGACGTGATTGGTTCTAGTCCCATGCTCAGGTCGCGTGATTGTTAAATTTAGACAATTTCATTGGTTGAATTGCGCGTATTAACTGATAAACAACACGTGCGGTAAACTATTATCAACACAACTTTTACTCAGAATTCCTTCCGCGGTGATTTCTTCTCATATTTCAATAATTTTGAAATATTTTGACAAAATAATGGTTGGGGAACATTTATGAATACATATTTTATAAGTTGTGTGAAAATTGACCACATATATGATGAAAAAGGGAACTATTTTCCCCAAATTTTGGGGATTTTCTTCGTCTGCCCGCCGCAGTGTCTATACCGAGACACTGCATGGGAGTTCGTATATTTGTATTCTCTATACGATATTTATTAAACTTTTTATTACACATTTAAATTTCAAGCCACCCATTCCCCTCCACCACCCTTGATTGTTAGCCCTATCTGCAAAAGTATTGTTATGTAACATTATGTAATTTATAATAAAATTACGTCATCATATTATATAGCCAACAACAAACCTACTTAGTTGTGTTTCTCTTAACTTTTGCCTATCAAAGAGCCCAAGTACCCAGAACACTACAGCTTCATAAATACAACTCTCCCTTATTATCTTATACGCAATCAGGGAAAGTAAGGGGCGTTAAGAAAGGGGACCATAATCCCTGGGGGACCATAATTTCTTTCACACCGGACATGTGGGGAGGACCTTTATTTCAAGGATATAACTCCCTTAAAGAAATATTCCTAAACCCACAATTTGATCACTACTATAACGTTGAAGTACAAGCCAGATTGCCTTCAAATCATGTAATTAGTACTATTACTAAATCAATGAATCAACCACAAGTACCGCGATCATAATACAGTATGTTCCACAAACTCTCAAAGGGATCGAGTCAGGCTTGTTGCAGTAGATTCCAAACGCTATTAATTTTTGAGCGCCGGGCTCGTTCGCACTTTTCAATACCCACTCGATAAAAGGGGATCACGTTTAGAGTTTTCGGGCAAAACCTTCTGATTTTCCCAAGGAGGATTGGCACCCAGGATCGAAACTCGATTTTTTCCAACAATGAAAACGTCGAAATGTCGTTATTTTCTGAAATTATATATAACACCGACGATAAATTCAAAATACACACAGTCCAAAAGATTCTCGAAATATTTGCGAAATAAGTAAAGAAAATGACGGATGTTTGAATTCGATTTCTGTAATCACGACATGCCCATATATGGCAAAAATATCGATGTTGCACTCTGGGGGCCAATCCTTCATGGATTTTCCCCATTTTTTATGTCAACACCAAGAATCGTGACATAATGTTCTCCAAATTTTTCGTCGGTTGGTTTTTGACGTTCGGCGTCTGTAACAGGCGTCTGTAACAGATGGCAGGTCGTGCTGACATTTTACATGTTAATTAATTGTTAGAGAGCCCATTTCTGGTAGAGACGGAAAACAGCTGAAAAGTGGGCGTTTACCACGAGCCCCGGGCCATGAGCTTTAAAGACGCTAGTATCGTTCATTTTAGAACCTTGCTTATGATTACAAGATTAACAACAATATTAGAGTCTACAATATGCTGCACAATAGAATTAATGAAACAATAATTGATCGATATTATGGCTTAGTTATACTTGTGAAAAAGCTTAAATAATATCAAAACATCGTTTTTGTATATTGAGTGAACATTTCTAAACGCCTTGGCTTCGTTAATCACTTATATTGATTACTCATTGCAAATATTTTGCAAACAGTGCAACACATTAGAACTCATCTATTTCTATTAAGGTTCGCTCTAGTTTGATAAAAGTTGATAAGACTTTGATAATGCACACCAGTTGGATATCCACTATGATAAATATTTTCCAACTTTGACATTCGGGATATTGCATATTAAGCTACGGAGATAATTACAAGTGTTAAACTCTCCAGTTATAAAACTCAATGTTTGTCATTAAATGCTATATGGGCTTATGAAAATGAAAGGAAAGGATTTATTATTGGCTATAGATAACTCATTATTGCAAGGATGAATTTACTAGTATGAAAAGCGCAGTTTTATAAAGATCGAAACCGCTCTGGATATAGGAGACAATTGCCAAAGACTATACTGTCTTCTCTTCGCAAAGTTTTCAGACTGTATCGATATACAAACTCTCAATTAGTCATTTTTTAAACCACTTACTAAAAATTCTTTTGTACTTTCCAATATTGTTCACAACAGTGGTATTACATTTAAAGAGGGACAATGATGATTGAGTGATAAAATTATACTTTTTGCAGTTTAGATTTTTTTAGATTTTTAACAGTGTTAGCATAAGTTATTCTTCCTTATAAAGTTCATATGATTGTTTAACATATAAGATATGCGTGTGAGATGCGCTTTGATTTATAAAATATACGTAATCAATAGAATAAAGCACGAAGCAGGAGATATGCACACATAATTATACAAAAAATAAAAAATAAATGTACTACTCAAACATTACTCAGAGTTAAATCACACTACCAGCATTAATTGTATTTTTTGGCGAATAAATGTAGTTATTTGATACTTCTAATTGCCTGTGTTTCCATCTATTAATCAACGAAGAAATCATAGATATAACCTGTGGAAGCAAACGCCTCTTTCAAATGAATATGCCTCTGAGGGATTGTTGTTGAGTTCAGATAAAAGTCTCTATTTGGTACTCAATCGTATTGTCATGAAATACAGTGTTAACTGTAAGCATGGAATTCGAAGTCGACATAACATTACGTTACAGTTCATTGTTGAATCAAATTATTTTACTTATACCTACGTGCAAGTGAATTAAAATGCACCAACATAAAGTAACGGTAATTCGTGTGCAATCACGACCCTAGGTATTCTACTAGATATACGTAAAGACTATAATATTAATGTTTTCTATGTCAAAGGAATCTCACTGCGTAGGTGTTAATTCTTTTTCGAGATTTTAAAAGTATTTTTCTCGACTTTTAAGATCTGTCTAGATCGTAAACATTCCGCATGTCACTACTCTATAAAAATGTCTTCTTAATTCATTGCAATCCATTCATACCAGCGCTACCGTGAAAATCTATTAACCTTGTTAAAAAACGTTACTTATCTATTCATTGGTTTTGGCTATGTATAACGTGGGTTGGGTTTTGATGTGGATTTTTTCAAATACACCTGACCATAAAACATTTTTGAGAAATAATTCACTGCGGATGGTGCATTTTGCATGATGATGAAGGCTTTGGATTTTCTACAATTTATTGGATGCGTCCTTGCCTTGGCTTTCTTTTCGTCAAGTTCTGGGCTCGACTCGGCCGAAATCGAAGGTGAGCGAAAACAGAAAACACAAAAATGTATTGTTACATGACGGATTGAGCTTTTGTACGGGGATATATATTTGCACATTCACTATTCCTTATAGTACGAATACTCTAAACATTTACGGTATTTTAATTTTCAGCATACTACCATGTATACAGGGGTGTAGGCAGCTTTCAGTCCGGGGGGGGGGAGGGGGGTTGCGATCGCCCAAAAAAGTTCGGTTTTCAGTTAGGGGGGGGGGGGGGGGGGGGGGTGTTCGGTTGTGGCATAAACACGCCGAAAATTAAGATTTATCTTGAATTTTACAAAAAATGTAGCTAGAAGCTTCATATTTAAAAAGCATTTTGAAGCTCTTTTCTTCTATCTCATGGTCATATTTTTTATTAGTTTTGGCCATCGCACCCATCGCACCCCCCCTGGTTACGCCTATGCTACAGTATAATAGTATTTATTTTATATATTTAAGGCCTTGGGCCCATATAAAGTATATACAAAATTTGGTTAGCCCAAGGACTTGGAAATGAAAATTTATGTTTGTTACATTTTAAGCAAAGTTTAAAAGATTGTGCATACAAGAATAGTATAGTTTCCATATAGCTTTTGAAATCTCGCTAAACCTCGTGAGATTTTAAGAGTAATGACTTCCATTGCCTTCTTTTAAATGGCATATTTGAATTCAGTGAAATGTTTTCTCCTTTAATAGCTAGCTTTGGTTTACACAGTTATGTAATTTGAATAATTTTCTATGACGATTTAAAAAAACTTGGGCCAAATCTCCATAGATGCACTGCTAAAATTCTTTAAAACCTTGGATTATTTGTATGTCAACCAACATTTGCATGTTTAATCACAACATGTACATAAACAGGGTCAGCATGTGGTATATCATTCAAGTTTTATACAGATTCAACTAACACTCTTTGATAAATAATGAAATTAAGCAACTTTTCCAAGATTTTAGCATGTTATGTGAATGGAACTCTAGCCCAAATTAAAAGCTGTATAAAAGATGGCACCACTAGATTTTATTGCTTTTTCTGCTATTTAGAAACTATCCTATTGGTTAACAAAACTCAGCAAAGCTCCAGCATTATTGTATTTATAAGACCAAGTTAGAATGGGAAAAATGTTTTTGCACTTCAAAGAGAATCACTGCGATCACTTATTACAGTCATTTAACTAAACCAAAAGTTTACATCAACTAAAGAGTTTTATTTACTTATTTATTAACTATTACTAATATCACATATTACATTTGCGTCTAGCTACATCCATGACGCATAGGACCCGACAATGGCAGGGGCGTAGCCAGCTATCAGTCAGGGAGGGGGTGCGATTGCCAATTTTTCGGTTTTCATTCAAGCGATCGTGGCATAAGCAAGCATTACAATTTTTCCAAAGATTTGTTTTACAAAAGTTGATGCAACTTCCTTTAAAATTAAGCTTGAAACTTCAAATAAAAAGCATTCTTTTAAAGATATTTTCTTCTATCCAATAGTTCTATTTTTATTGGTTTGGGGGGGGGGGGGCTACGCTTATCAATGGGGTACCTTTTTAGATATATGCCAGGTTTGATTTTTATTATACCTACAATACATGATTGTGTGTAGATATTGTATGTAGATTCATATGGGTGTCTCATTGTATGTTGAGGAAAAATCACCATTTACACCACTGTAAATCGGGTAAATCGACATAAAAATGAAATAATCTTGATTTTAGAAAATCGTAGCTTAGATATTGAGTTATTGGACAACGAGGTTCAACTTGTCGAGAAAAAGGAGCTAAAGAATGGGTTGCTTACAATGGAACACATTATCCAGCGAGAGAGGACTGACACTACTGGTGATAAAAGTCCCCTTATGAACCTCATGGAGGAGATGGTCTTTGAAAAACGATCCAAAGAAAAGAGGTACCATCTAGGCCACTTTGCGAGGAACGTTCAATAAATACCGATGTCATTGCACTTGAAAATGTTACCACAAATTGAATTCGCCCAAAGCACTTTTAAGTCAAAATCCAGTTCTAAGGATAAGTTCATAATATCTATTAATCAGCATTTGAACATACAATTTTTCTTTAAGATCTGAACATTTCATTTTGATTCCTCTGTAAAAATGCGAATTAAATAATTTGTGTTACATTTATTGAGCGACTCTCGTACTTCAAAAAATTGATTTGCAATTTATAACTAGTACCTGGTCAGGATGTGCCCAGTTGCGTGAACCTTTGCAATAATAATATACATTTACTAAACATATGGCAGAAAGAATTTTAAATCACGTCCATTGCAGCCATTTTGATATAAATTGTTTCAGAAACAACACAGCAGTTTCGAGGTTGAAATTGAATTGGGGCCATTTGGGGGGAGTAATGCTTGTATTATCACATGAAGGGCGCTTGGAATCAAAAGAGCGAGTTTTTCAATTTGAATGATGAGCAAAGCAAACACGGCTTGTTCTGATAATTGCTACAAAGACGCTCTTTTCAGTCTAAAAGATGTCACTTCTAGGCTTGAAATAAATAAAATATGTCGTATATTTTTATGTATCAGCAAAGATGGACAAAATAACCCAGATTATACCAGTCATGATGGATTAAATTCAGAGACAAACCTTTTCCATCTAAAGATGAAACATCCAGGTTCATCTTCACCTAAAGATATATTCAACAATGAATTATGGTTTATTGGCCTACCTTGTATATCAGTCAACCTCGACGGTATAGAAAATGCAAATTAATAATTCCTATTTTTAGCTGTCTTCAGTACGACGGTTGGGCGATCGAATATTTTTATAAAATAGCTGGGTGCAAGATAGAGGTGGACATGGATAATAAGTGCACAATAGTGTATGATTGTCCAAAAGGTGGGTTTTTAATAAACATACCAAATAATATGTCATAACTAGTATGTTTTTTCAAAAATATTTTTTTTAAAAAGCTGATTGCCAAATTATTTTTTTTACTTACATAGAATGCAATTATACAAAAAAAGGAAGAATCTTTTAATTAAGTGATTCATACACACTGAATATATCTACATTTGAAATATTTGCTATAACAATTGCTCTTCTACCTAGAAGAATCTTTAAATTCAAATCATTTATTATCATTTTCGACCCCATAAACTAGAGTTTACTTTAAGTTTGTTATGTACTTTTGCCCAAAAGGCTTTCGTGCGTGTACAATTAAAAAAGTTAAAAAACAGTGTGCCGTATTATTTGTTATCACAAAATACACTAATTTCTGATTCCTTAATTATGTACCTCTTTAAAATAACACTTGTGGGGTATAACCCTGTAAAATTTCCCATTGCATTGTGATGAGTTGAGTAATTTTTGATACTTGCTTGGCAACGAGCCACTTTGGTTTATTAACAAAAAGATTCCTTTCCAAGACGCAATGTGGAATATTCAAACCAAGTGAGACCGTTCCTGGGGACTATGTTACAAATTTCCTGATATGAAATAACTGACCAGTTTTGTGCCATGAAAACAATTTTTTGTTTTTCTATACTAGTATGTACATACTATTCATAGGTTGCATACCAGAATCGAATGACGGAAAGCTGTACAAAATTGGAGAGAAATGGAAGAAAGATAAAGATGTATGTGAATGCGTTTGGCCTCGATTCCTCTATTTTGACGTACCTGGCGTTCCGTCAGGAGGTGTGCCTCTACCCCCTGTCAAAATGTGTCGACTTGAAGGTAACACCCCTAAATAAGTTTAGAAATCTTAAGTCCGTATTGTATGTTGAAAAACAACTATTTTTATATTTTTGATGATATTTCTGAAATGCACCACCACAATACAGGTACAATATTGGATTCTACTGCGTCGGCCCATAATATCAATTTAACAGCAATCATGGGCGGGGCAATGCTTGTACATAATCAGTCATATCTGCAAAGCCCCCAATCGCTCAAAAGTCTCTTTCCGGAGATGTGAAATTTGAACTTGGATTTATATTTCAAACAACTCTTATCTCTTCAATCCTAGAATGTTACACGATGCGTGCCATTATATTCCAGGGTGCGAGACCGAGGATGAAAAGTTCTTAGAACCGAAGCGAAACTATATGAACCACCAAGGCCACGTATGTCGTTGTGTCAAAGGGCCTGATCCATACTTAATGGACTTCCCGACATTGTTCCATATCCAGTGTTATGTAGACGCGGGTGGAAGTAAGTATATATCCATAAGTATACTTGGATTCAACATGTCGCTGTCAAACTTGCAGTTGTTTCTGGCCATATGTCACGGCAGACTAAGCAATATTCAATGGGCCTATATTCAATGGGCCTAAGTCTAGCTACAAGCCCCTGTTGGACCAGTTGTTAGACTATAGTCCAGAGTCTTGAAGCAAGACTAAAGATAGACTTTGTAATATTTACAGCTCCCGAAAATATTTGAATACATGTTTCATTTAGTGTAGATGAAGCGTATTGTCAAGGCAGACGTAAACAGATGGAGGTTTAAACGTAATTTCGGATTTTAGCCAAAGACTCAATGCATTATGGCTGATTGATTCCACTCGGGCGTTGTTTCCTAAACTTAGCACTCGATGCTACGCATCTCGTGCAAAGTTTGAAACAACACATTTTAGGAATAATCAGTCCGCAATACTGTACACTGAGCCCAGGGCTTAATCCTTTAATATATGTACACAATGATTATAACATATAAATTAGTATAGTCAAAGAACATGAGGTTGTTATCTAATTAATAAAGGTATGTAATTAAACACTTCGACAATTTATCATTAAAGCATAATTATGTGAGGTTATATTTGAAGAATTCAATAAGATTGGATTTTTAAACATAAATTCATGTTTTTGTAGAAGTTGTCGAATATAAACACATAACTGGTTTGATATTATTTTGTGAAAGTGCAACAGGTATTCAGAGGTATTTGTATAACTAATTTCTTATTTTAGCCCCTGATGTACCCCCACCCGGAGGTGTTCTAGAAGATAGTATACCAGCTGAGATAACAGACAATATGGAAGATAATGCCTTGAATGACTTTAAGCCAAAGAAGAAACGTCGGGGGTGCATGAGAAATCAGCCAATTTGTACGACAGGGAAGAAATGTTGCGGTTGTCCGAGAATGTTTATTGATCCTTCAACTGGGGTAATGGAATCACAATGTCCTTATATGTCTATATATTTCTGTTACTTTTCATCCTAATAATATGCAAATAGTTCTCTGTATTACACTTATCGAAAAGGGCTCAGGCTCGGAATAACCTGTATGGAATTTGCACCATCTAGACTTTGTTTAACGCAATGCTTTCTGTAAATATTAACACAAAATATATTCAATTCGGTGATTAATTGGCTTTTTGAAATAGCAAACTATATCAAGATAAGAATATTCTACCAATTTTTATCAATTTAAAAGTTTGTTTTTAAATAGCCTGGTAGTAGTTTTTCAGACTGTTTCAGACCTTGTGATATTTTAGAGACGAAGCCATATTAACAAGTAAAACCTTCTTTCAGGAGACCAGTTTTCCCAGAGATGTAGTTAAAAAGGGGTTGTGTAGAAAAGTACGCTGCCTCAACAAGAAATGCAGAGGTCTTTGGACCAAAAAGAAAAAGAATGGAAACTAATTTCAGATCAACAACAACAAACAACTAACGATAACGAAGATGGATTATTTATACCTACACCTTTTAAGACTGTGCGAGAATCAAGAATACGATGTCTTCAATACAAAGCCATTTTAAATCTAACGCAAAACAATAACTTTTTAACTCAAAAGATCAAAAATTCAAATTTGTGCAATTTATGCAATAATAACCAAATTGACGATACCACTTTTATATTGAGTTCCCAAACTCTGCCAAAGTTTCGGACGATTTCAAAATGTTCTTCAATGTTGACCTAACAAATAAAGAATGATATAAATCTAGGGAAATCGAAATTAGATCAAGAAAGCGAGTATAAAGCCATAAATTTTTGTATCTTAAAAAAGTTACAAAAAGTTGAAGACATAGATTACATCGAGACTGGTTAAAACTAAAATCACCTTTATCGAAATAAAATCTTAAAATATAAAATCAAAGATGAACAAAACATTTCAAATTTAAATGATATGCAAGAAACCTTCTATAAGACTTGGACTATTGAGCCAATCACTGTTGTGCTTTATATTTAAGGTACGCAGTTATATATCATAAAACTGTAAGCCTCTATATCACTGGGGGGTATCGTGATGCAACAACACCGTGTTGTTGCATCAAGATGGCCAAACTTCCGGTGATAGATTTTCGTACGATATTTTGTTTCCCCAATTAAACCCATTTCTAGGACGAGTTGCTCAATAACCATACACGTGCAGTTAGCGCGAGATCTATATTTAAAGAAACTGTCATTAGTATACATGTACCATCACCAAGAAGCAATAAGTTCACGGTTTTAGTTCCTCACTATTGATGCAACAACACCAAACCGAAGATGCAACAACACCCCTCTAGATTTGAGCAATGATGCAGCAACACCAATTAATAGTATAATTTCAGAAGACCATAAATCTCGAGAGGAACAGATTTTTAAATGCTACTATTGCAACACCGTTACCCATTACCCATATTTGCGTTATTCTCAAGGCATTCAAAATACACGTCCTGCGGGCGAAGATCCTTTATATGTATTTTCAAAAATTTATACTTTTAAATATTATAATGTACTGGACGTTGTTCTATAACATAGTTCAATCGCCTTTAACATGGCAAGCTTTAGTAACCCAATCTATTTTCATAAACCACTGTTCCATAGCTTGATGACCCTGACTCCAGTTATCATTCAAAATGGTGGACAAACATCTTTCGTTCTCGGTAAACATGATGAGCTATTGGAAATTATCTGTCATCCATCTGTGGAACAGTGATAAACTAGTAGATGTACGTTACCACTGTTTATCAAATTATAACTAAAACAGTTTAACTGTAACATCCGTGAGCTTATGTTGATAGGATGATTGCTTCATCTATGATATAATATGATATGATTCTTTATTTCCTCCAATTTGGAGAGCCAACGTGTAAAAACGTCTGATTGACTTTATTAGAAAGGTCGTTTAGTTACACGTTTAATGGAAATCTTGCACGACGCACGTGTAGAATTATTGCTCTCTTTGGATTCCTTCTCTCCGACAGAGTAAAAAGGTAAACAAAAGTGATACGATTAAGGGCCCAAAAAGGTAAATTGATAGGGGTACAGTTATCCCAGATTTCCCGGGCCCTATGGAAATATCATATTGTCTCTCGGAATAAAACCAATATTGAATCCCTCTCAGTAAATAACCTTTATATAATAGCATTGTATAACTGCAATATCATTAAACCAACACTCATCCTATACAACTCTTGAGAACGATGTACAACTCCTGGATAGCGTAAACTCCTGAGCAGCGTATACAACTCTAACAAAGGATATACAATACATTTTGTTGACCGCTCATCAACCAATCAGAATTGAGTATTTCAATTGAGGTACTAACTACACAAAATGACTGATATCTGTTGTCTTTCCAAAATTATATTAGTGATTTGTAAGCAATTTCCATACGGTAAATCAAGGGCATTTAATTTAGAAAATGTATAATCTTTATTTTTCAGATACAATATCAATGAGATTGCCTCCCGGGGATTCTGTACTTTATTTAGTTTGCCTTGTATATCCTTTTAACTTTGATATAGACAAAGAAACCAAACAAAATACGTTTCGTTCATGGACCACTGACTCACGCGTTTTATTCACGTCCCGACCAACACCTGTAGGCCCTAAACAGAACATAAAACAGTTTCTCTTGTTGTTCAATGATACATTATATTGGCGTTTTTGCATCAGCACATTGGTGTTGTTGCATCATCGATAATAAACAGAGTGGTGTTGTTGCATCAATAGTGAGAAATTAAAACCACGAATTTATCGCTTCTTGATGATGCTACATGTATACCAATGACAGTTTTTTAAAATATAGATCATGCGCTAACTGCATGTGTATGGTTATTGAGCAACTCGTCCTAGAAATGGGTGTAATTTGGGAAAACAAAACATCGTACGAAAATCTATCACCGGAAGTCTGGCCATCTTGATGCAACAACACGGTGTTGTTGCATCACGATACCCCCCAGTGTATATGTTTTGAAGGCTATTGTTCTGAAAACATTTTAGGCCAAGCAAATGGGCTCATAAAAGGCCCAAACATCCCAAAAATTGCAACAGTTTTTAAATTAGTCTTATATTATGTATTAATATCAGTTGAAAAACATATCAAAAATATAGAAAAATATATGCAGTGGACAAATATGAAATTTCTCTTCCTAGGTACCCCCTACAACCCTACCCCAAAATTGAGTATTGGTAGGAAACAATTTTTTCTTCCCAAATGGAATACTTCAGTCAAGTATTCAAGCTTTATTATGATAGATCACATATTCACAAATAATTAAAATATTATTTTAATCAATTTTGAGACCAGTAATTGGTCATTTGACCCCAAAGTATAACAAAATAGGCCACAAAACAGGCATGTTATCACATATCTATTTAGATATTTTAGGATCAGTTTGTCAGAAAAGCATGAAAAAAATCATGGTGTTACATATTCATATGAACTTCATATTTGGTGAGTGTCAGAATTCTAAGGTGTATACTTAGGAAGAAAAAAATTATTACATTTTCATAGTTTTGCCCCGCCCACTATAGGGGAGACTATAGTTTTGATGATTAACTCCCACAATGCATCACATTTGTATTAGAGTTGACATCTAAATCATTTATATAGGCTTGTCATCATCTAAAATACAAGTTTTGTGAAGGTTTATACCTTATTAGTATGAAAAATAGGAATTATTAGTTGCACCAGGTGAAATGTTAAGGTGACCTCACTTTTATTTGATGAATAATTACATATCACCACTCTGATATTAGGGTATTTGATAACTGCTCTATACTAGGCTTATCTAAATAATGTAAGTTGTAGTTTTTGTGGAATTTAATATTGTTTAAATTATTAATTACAATCCGCAATTACAAAATTTGCATATATTTAAATTCATCAGATCATAAATCATTACATAAGAGTACATTACTATGGAACTATCAATTGGATGTATAATGCTGTAGAAACGAATTTATGGTTATTAAGCGGAATTTAAACTGACAGAGAACATTAAAATCTCAGATATCTGGGGAGTCTTTCATTAATATAATTTCGGTGCATAGGAATGATGGTAATTCTGTCTGTCAGGTTGGAAAACATTGAGTGTACATGTGCTGCATTCAGAATCGGATGCAGATATTGTGATTGTGAAAACTGCAATCCAAAGTTTCCTAACCTCAAATACAGTACTCATACAGATCTCCTTATGCTTCTCATTTATCATGCACAAAACACAAACTTCAACATTTTCTTCAAACCTGAACCAAAAGCAGCAACCCAAGAAACAAAATGTTGGAATATAAATGAAATAAGATTGTCTTTGGGAAAAGTGGTCTGTGACAATATTTTGTTTCTTTTCTGGGGTGTGACATCGCATTCAGGTTATATATGGCATAGATAAGAGGCTATCATTGAGGCAGATAAAAAAAGAGTGAGCTCTTGAGAAAACAAGCGGTTGTTTTTAAATTACCAAAAGCACTGGTGATCCGCTCGATTACGCTTGTCGTTTCGGTAACAAAATGTCTAAACGTCGAAAGTACGATATTTCTTTTTTCCTTTTTTTCACGCGTTGTAGGCAGAATCCCCACGATGTTTTTTTCTCACAGAATTGTTGATTTAATTCCTTACTTAAGTTAAATAAACGGTTTGGTTTAAAAGTGCAGATCTTAATTGTTTATCGAAATACCGTTTATGTAACTTAAGTGAGGAATTAAATCGAAGATTCTGTTGTCTTCTGAACTATTTGTTCGCAAATATGTACATTTTTTAAACATATAATACTGATACATGTTCGGATAACAATGTTGTGGGAATTCTGCCTACAATGTGTGAAATAAAGAAAAAGAAAAATCAAACCTTCGATGTTCCGACAATTTGTTACAACGTAAACAAGTAGAAAACCAGTGAAATGCAAGCAATTCTGTCATTGCAGAGGAACATGCTCTTTTGTCAATTTATGGTGGAAAAATGGTGAAACCCTAAATTATCTTAGGCTTCTAAAATTCTATTAAAAGAGAGCAGCAAGATCTGAATTATTGCAGCCCCGTGTTCTTCCTCCAATTTTCTGATGCTGCGGAATACCACAGTTACAGAGTGTACCATCAGATCCAGGAGTGGGAGGGAAATAAACTGCCTTCATTAATTGGGCTGGGAAATAAGCAACGAAACTACACTCCCCTCCATAAGTTTGGCAACCTTTTTTCTCCATTGAACTACGTGTTAAAGCCTCTTTACGTTTGAATTTTTATTTACTTAACCGGCGATGAAATAACTTATGATATTGATGGAAACCTAAGTTGACTTTATTTCCAATACCTCCAAATTTTCTCAATTTTTTTCCTCAATTACAATAGGTCGAAAATTGATGATAAATTTGTTGAATTTTTGAAAATCGTCATTCTCATGTAATCCAATGGGAAATGGAGGGTTCAGGGCAAATCAGAAATCAGGATATGTTCTCAGTAAAAGATTCAGCAAAAAATATTTTCATATAGAAAATTGAATTGTCTAACTTTTTTGAACACTAAGTGTTTAGTTTATTTGATGAATATTAAAGTTACAGCGCTTCAAAGTCATTTTTGAAAATTATTTTTCGTCTCCTGTGTTATTTCAATGGGAGAGGTTTTTTGAAAAAC